GCCTGTAATCCTAGTTACTCAAGAGGCTGAGATCTGAGGATTACAGTTCGAAGCCAGCCCAGGCAGGAAAGTCTGTGAAACTCTTATTTCTAATCAACCACCAGAAAACTGGAAGTGGCGCTAAGGCTCAAGGTGGTAGAGCTCTAGCCTTGAGCGAAAGAGTTCAATGACAGCACCCATACCCTGAGTTCAAACCACATGACAAAAAAGAAAAGAAAAGATTAACTGTACAGAGGGTTGAGGTAGGCTTGGCAGGGGAGACGGATCACTTCATCAGCCATTTATCTTTGATGGGCTATACTGTTTATCATATAAGTAACATGGGTCTCTGTGTACAGTGATGTCTTTGGATACTTCCTTCTATCACTCCCTTCTTCATCAGCCATTTATCTTTGATGGGCTATACTGTTTATCATATAAGTAACATGGGTCTCTGTATACAGTGATGTCTTTGGATACTTCCTTCTATCTGTCACCACCATCTACTCATTTGCTCAGATAAGAGAAATCACAATTGTCCTTTCCCTCACCTCCTCTGAGCAGAGCCTCAGTAGGCTTTCTGCAGGGCTGAGTCACTCTTCCTGTCTCACCTCAAAAGTATTTTTCAATGGGTGCCAATGGTTCATGCCTGTGATCTTACCTACACAGGAGACTGAGACCTGAGGATTATGGTTCAAAGCCATCCTGTGTAGAAAAGTCTGTGAGACTCTTATCTGCAAAATCTAGAACTGGAGGTATAGCTTAAGTGGTAGAGTGCTAGCTTGAGCAAAAAAGCCAGGCAAAAGGCTAGAGAGACAGGGGCTGGGAAAGCGGCTCAGTGGTAGAGTGCCCTAGATTCGATTCCTCAGCACCACGTAAGCAGAAAAAAGGCGGAAGTGGTGCTGTGGCTCAAGTGGTAGGGCACTAGTCTTGAGCCGAAGAGCTGAGGGACAGCGCCCAGGCCCCCCATGACTGACCAAAAAAAAGAGAGACAAATAGCATATATTCTGTCTGATATGCAGAAATTAGATATAAAATACACTGGGATATGATAAATTATACAGATTTTTAGATACACACAGTGAGAAAGAGGATACTCTTAGGAGAGAAACACAAAGGTACAATGCCTAAGTGCCTCTTCGTATTTACATAAAATAATATACAGACTGAAATGAACTCCAAGATGTGGAACACAAAAGGCCTCCTTTATTTTTTTTCTTTCTTTTTTTTCTTATTTTAGTTTTTAGTTTTTGATGGTCTGTCTTATTTACCTTATGTGTGGTATATTCAAGAGTATATCTTTGGAAGGGTTGGGGGAGGGTACAGAACTCAAGGGAAAAAGGGTGAAGTGTCACAGTGGAGCTCACTGGGCACTAATGAAGAGTGAAATATACAACGCCTAGAGATGGGAAGGAGGGATTGGGAAAGAATAAGGAAACAGATTACCTCATCACCTCTATAACAATAAGGTAAATTACAAAACAACAACAACAAAAAAGGCCAGGCAATAGTAAGGAGGCCTTGAGTTTAAGCCCCTAGCACCAGTTTTTTTCTGTGGAATCTTCCTAGACCAACATCTCCACATCACCTCTACCCAGCCGCCTCTGTTAGGACCCGGAGCAGCTCCTTGCTGTACTCATGAGAATTACAACTCACCTGTTTTCACCACCTGCTGATGCTTCCTTTGGGTACATCTCTTTGCATTCTTCCCATGTCAAGATCATGATCATCTTGATGCAGATTGGCTGTTTAATTGTTCACTTATACACCCATTGTCTTTTACCTTTCTGAATATTCTGTGAGAGAAAAATATTATTCTGCAGTCACTAGATTTTTCCAGCTTGTGGCTCAATGCCTTGTACATAATTTTCACCCCAGAAGCATATGATGAATTCATATCCAAACTAGATGGTAGATCAGTAATATGTAGGAAGTGTTTACCTCTCCAAATGGGAAATGATAGCCCCAAATTGTAGCATTTGCCAATATCTATGGGGTAAATTCTGCAGTGATTTTTTTTAAACTACTAAAATGACATCACTGATCACTGACCTAGCAAGCAACACACAATTGTACTTTATTGTCAGCTCCTCAACAGAATCAGGATTCTTGAATTGCCTGTACTGGCTGCATATGACAGATAAGCAAATTAATCATTTCATCTAACTCTTGCAGGTGTCTGCCCCTTTGGTGTTCTCTGAAGTCAGGGATATTTCTACCATACAGATATAAATCACTTCAAGAAAATAGTAGTAAAATGTAATAAGAACTAATAAGGAAGTGATAGATGTTGAGTATTTGTTATATTTATATTAAATATTTAATTTATTTTAAATATTCAGTTGCCCAATCTATCTGTCTGTCTATCTATCTATCTATTTATTTATCAGCAATATGCCTGAACTGGGGCTTGAACTAAGGGTCTTGAACTCTTTGGCTTTTTCACTTAAGGCTGGAGCTCTGTGACTGAGCCATACCTCTGCTACTAGTTTTTTGCTGGTTAATCAGAGATAGGAGTCTCACAGAGTTTTCTGCCTAGACAGGCTTCCAACTTTGATCCTCAAAGTTCAGCCTACTGAGTAGCTAGGACTTAGTAGGGTGAGTATCTGGCTCAGTGGTAACTTTATGTAACCTGATTTTTAGTAATGATTACATTTAGCCACTTGTAAAATATCTGGAAGTTGAACTGTCCTCTTTCCAGGGGCTGCTCCAGCACCCACTGGGGAAGATCTCTGGGTAAACACTGATGACTCTCAGCCATTAGTGTTTGGCTCATAAGCCAAGGAAGGAAGACAGTTGGCAGAGATTGTGAGCAAACTGTTGTTACAGATCCATTTCTCTGAGAGGTGCTGTCACCTCCATTAGCTGGACAAAAGAAATGACTTGTCTTCTATCTTGGTGAGCACAGTTTGGTACAGTGCCTAGGCTGAGAGTAAGGTAGCAGTGCAAAATAAAGAGATCACAGGGAAGAAATGTAAAACCAACTGTGACCTTCAATGTAGGGTGCTAGAACATTGTGTACGTGTGTGTATGTGTGTGTGTGAGAGAGAGAGAGTGTGTGTGTGTGTATGTGTGTGTGTGTGTGTGAGAGAGAGAGAGAGAAAGAAAGAGTGAGTGAGTGTTGTGGGGTTTGAACTCAGGGCCTGGGTGCTGTCCTTGAGCTCTTTTGCTCAAGGCTAAAGCTTACCAATTTGAGCCACAGCATCACTTCTGGTTTTCTGGTGGTTAATTGGAGATAAGGGTCTCACAGACTTTACTGCCTGGGTTGGCTTTGAACTGTGTTGCTTAGATCTCAGCCTCCTGAGTAGCTAGGATTACAGGTGTGAGTCACTAGCACCTGGCTACTAGAACAGTCTAATTACCAGAGATAGCTGTCCATCCATAGTGCTTATAGTCAGGGGCACTTCATTTTGAGAAAATTTGCCCGGCCAGAAGTCCTTCAGGCCTGTTTTAAGTCATTGAGGTCAACTGGACTACTTGGTCTAAATATTAGTTGGGGGACAGAAATGAGCCCCAGCTGGTGTCTGAAGCAAGGCCTCTGGAACTCTGGTGACTGAGAGAAGGTGATATCCCAAGAATGAGGCTCACAGAGAACAGGGACATGTGGAAAAGGCTACACTGGAAATGCATTGCCACCCTTGAAGGATTTTCTTTTCTTTTTTTTTTTTTTTGGGTCCGGTCATGGGGCCTGAACTCTGGACCTGGACGCTGTCCCTCAGCTCTTCAGCTCAAGGCTAGCGCTCTACCACTTGAGCCACAACGCCACTTCTGGCTTTTTTCTTTTTTCTTATGTGGTGCTGAGGAATCGAACCCAAGGCCTCATGCATGCAAGGCAAGCGCTCTACCACTGAGCCACCTTCCCAGCCCCTTTGAAGGATTTTCTTGTCATGTGTAGTTGGGGTTTGCTCTGCTATATTTATACCAACCAGGCTATCAGTATAGAAAATACAAATCTCAATTAGTGGCTTTTAATGTATTTGAGTTTCTATAGCCACAATGAGAACCGCTAGTTCTGCCTTTGAAAATTTAGGAATTTGGTGAATTTTTGAACCCAACAAAGATGGGTACAGCTAAAATACTTCCTCTTCTCTGATATAGCTGGCAGTCCCTGCTCCTAGCTTAGCCCACACCAGTTCATATAAAGGATTCATATAAATGGAATCCATCCTAAGGTAATAATCACACCCCCAAGTCATGATTGGAACATTATGGAAAAGAACATCTTTCACAGATTAGCTCACTTAACAGTATCAAGTACTGTCCCTAGGGCTTGAGGTTATGGAGATCCATTATGTGGAGGATGAAGCAATGAAGCAAACAGGATTCTAAGCCAGAGGATTGGTGGTTATACCTATAATCCTAGTTATCCCAGAGGCTGATAGGTTCAAAACCTTGGCCAGAGTCTTAGTCCATGAGCCAGCAAAAAGCTAAAAGTGGAGGCATATCACAAATAATAGCCAGTTTTGAGCAGAAATAGCCAAGCAAGAACGAGAGGCTCTGAGTTCGTCACTCTAATGGTGTGCGCATGCGTGTGCGTGTGTGGCATGTGTGTGCACATGCATGCACGGATGCACACATACAAACAAAGGCGATTCTAAACACTGTTGCAAGCTTTGATACAAATGTGCGCCCCATGTTCTTCATTCCCAGTGCTCCTAGGCATGACACTGCTCTGGCAATGAAGTCAGTGGAACTGTGTAATTAAGGTAGTTAGGGTGTTCTTATTGGGGATGTGAAGAGTCTGTAGAGAGTGAAACTCTAGAAACACAGTGAGACCTGTACTGTGGTTGGAAGCAAGTCTTTGTAAGTCTCTCCTTTCCAGGGACACTGCAAGGAAAGAGGGGTAAGAATAAGAGCATTGGCTTCTGCATTTTACTGAAGACTACGTTTCCTATTACTGTCTTTTGGGGCTCCGGTTGGGGGGGTCTCCTGATTCAAGAGGTAGTGCTGGAGGGTCAGCTGTTCTCATGATGGAGGGTTAGCACCGGGTGTGTCATTGTCGTGGCTCTACTTTGCTGCAGCTCCTGCCCATCCACACTCTGAGGCTTGGTATGGAGGTGGATTCCTTTGATGGGCACCATTACATCTCTTCAATTGCACCAGGCGGTCCTGTGGATACACTGAATCTCCTACAGCCAGAGGATGAGCTTCTGGAGGTAAAGTTCTGGTGAAGAAAGGTACAAAGACAGGACTTGTTTCAGTTCTAGGAAAAATGTGTCTACTGGGCTGGGAAGGTGGCTCAGTGGTAGAGCGCTTGCCTTGCATGCATGAGGCCCTGGGTTCGATTCCTCAGCACCACATAAGCAGAAAAAAAAAAAAGCTGGAAGTGGCTCTGTGGCTCAAGTGGTAGAACACTAGCCTTGAGCTGAAGATCTGAGGGACAGCGCCTAGGCCCAGAGTTCAAGCCCCATGACCAACAAAATAAAGAAAAAAAAATGTGTTTACCATGTTTCAGTATGACCAATGTCAATGTCATGTTAGCCCTTGTGCTGGAAAAGTCCTAACAACTTATTGGATAATAAAGGAAGCAGAATCCTACCCTACGCTCATTTTATCCATCTGTAAAGATGTCAGAGATGTCTTTTTCAAGGTTTACCTGAATGATTGACTAAGAAAGGAGTTGGAGCCAGGGGCAAGTGGCTCATGCCTGTAATTCTAGCTACTCAGGAGGCTGAGATCTGAGGATTGTGGTTCAAAGCCAGCCTGGGCAGGAAAAGTCTATGAGACTCTTATCTCCAATAAACCACCAGAAAACCAGAAATGGTGCTGTGGCCCAAGTGGTAGAGCACTTGCCTTGAGTTGAGGAGCCCAAGCCGACTTCAAGCCCCACAACTGACAAAAAAAAAGGAGTTGGAAAGCATCATTTGTCATTTTATTAGCAAAATGCTGCCTAAGGATCTAAGGATACTTGTTGGTGACATGATCTACGTTTTTGTTTCCTTCCTGTATAGGCAGGACAATAGGCACATGTCATTGGCTTTGTCATCACAAGGCCAGGTATGGTAACAAGCTTGTGGACCAAGCCAAAGACTGAATGTGGTCATGGATTGGAAATGGTTGTATAATGTCCTGTATTCTGGAAGTGTGTACACCTATGCATTCTCTAATCAAAAGTCTGGATAATTGACACTTGATAGCACTTAAGAAGGTCTCAAGTTGAAGGACCTAGAGAAATATTGTGCATTCCAAAATAAAAACCACGTTTACTGAGTCATCTGAATGTAGACATTAAAATAAAATAAAATTTCTGTAGCCAGGCACTGGTGGCTTACTCCTGAAATTCTAGCTCTTCAGGAAGCTAAAATCTGAGGATCGTGTTTCAAAATCAGCTTGGACAGGAAAGACCAGAATATTCTTATCTCTGATTAACCAGCAAAAAGCCAGAATTGTAGCTATGGCTTAAGTGATAGAGCACTAGCTTTGAGAGAAAAAGGCAAGCATCAGCACCCAAGCCCTGAGTTCAAGCTCTAGTACCAATCACACACACACACACACACACACGCACGCACACACACATACACACACACACGCACGCACGCACGCATGCACGCACACACACACACACACACACACACGCATACAATGTTTGTAAAGTTAGCCAAATAAGCTCTTGGAGTATGCGTGTGTGTGTGTGCCTGTATTTAATGTACTCTGTAGGGATTAAACCAGAAACACAAATGTGCTTTGGTGTTGGAAGGCTGTGCCAAGTCTCAGCCCAGAACAGCTATTTCCAGCAGCCATAAATCCCCATAGTGAGGACTTGGTAATGGGAAATGGGACTGATCCGTTTAACAGTAGAGTAGTGAGGAGGACTCGCAAGCACTGCTGTAATAATTGGAGACAATTCAAATGAATAAATAATGAGCTAAATAAATATTTAAAGCTACGCCAAGATAAAAACCTGAAAAGTGACTTTCTAATTTGTTGAGCTGGAAGCACACAGTAATACTAAGTATGGACTGAATTCTTGCTTCCATTGCATATGTTTGCTGTTTTTAGTACAGGTTACTTTCCATGCTATGTCATCCTTCCATTGGCACTGTTGATGTGATATGATCACTAATAGAATACCTCTTTACCACCCTATCCCTCAGTTTTTTTTGATGCCAATACTGGGGCTTGGACTCACAGCCTGGTCACTGTGCCTGAGTTTTTTCATTCAAGCCAGTACCCTACCACTTGAGCCACAGCTCCATTTCTGGCTTTTTTTTTTTTTTTTTGGTCCGGTTGTGGGCCTGGGCGCTGTCCCTCAGCTCTTCAACTCAAGGCTAGTGCTCTACCACTTGAGCGAGCCACAGCGCCACTTCTGGCTTTTTTTTTTTTTTTTTTCCTGCTTATGTGGTGCTGAGGAATTGAACCCAGGGTCTCATGCATGCAAGGCAAGCGCTCTACCACTGAGCCACCTTCCCAGCCCTCCACTTCTGGCTTTTGGGTAACAAATTGGAGATAAGTCTTATAGATTTTTCTTCCCCGTCTGGCTTTGAACTGCGATCTTCAAATCTTAGCCTTCTGTGTAGTTAGGATTAGAGGCCCAAGCCACTAGCAACCAGAAACCCCACCCCTTCTTGTATAAATGTTGACTTCTAGATCTTCCAAGAAAACTCTTTTGTCTGCTGCTAAACTTGTGTCCCTTGCATCTTTTTATGGACATAACGACTTGGGACATGAGATTTGCTTTTCCAGTACTGCCAGTTCCCTGAAGTGCATGAGAGCCTTTTTACCCTGTGGTAATTTATTTGTAAATAATTAAGAGGCGGGGAGAGGAGTCTGGCTTGATGCTAAGTGCTGGGTATGTTACAGGCTTGAGAGTAGTTCCCTGGGAACCACTGTCTCGGGACTCTGCCTGGGACTCTGATTGGATGCTTCCAGCAGCTCAGGGCCCTCAGTTCTCCAGTGCAAAGACACATGTGTGGGAAGGCTGCTCCAAGTCCAGTCAGCCCTGCCAGCTAGCTGAACACTGGCACTGCACTTGTCAGAAATTAGCACCAAGAATATTAGACTAATAATGCTTCTAACCCTCCCAGGAAGGTAGGAGTCAGTTGTGAAAAGCCTGTTGTTAGCTTTGTGCTTCAGTTTATTGCGAGAAGCAGACAAGTCAACTTTTAGTGACTTGTAGACAGAACTGAGCCAAACTGTTTGAGCTAAATTGGTCGATATGAAAAATTGCAATAGACTTAGTTGGTGCTAAGCATTTTTGTTATGTGCCAAAATAATATGAAATTGGGGTGGATTTTGATGATAGGAGTTAACCATTAATAAGGAATAGTGACTTAGACGGACATGGAATACAGGCATAAATAACTTGCGAACTGACAGCTTCCTACAGATACTTAATGGTCAAGTCAGCGAAGTTTACAGCAATGGAATGGATGTGAGACATGTGTATTTCATTTATTTAAGTGATTTTTTTTCCCTAAGGGCATTAAGAGTAAGATGTAAAGGAACATTGTGAATGAATGTTAAAATTTCACAGCTAAGTATTCTAGAATTGGCCACCTATACACTGTAAGACTTGTGATTTTTTGAGTGTGTGTGTGTGCAGATGCATATGTGCTTTCCAGTACTGGAGTTTGAACTCAGGGCCTTGTGCTCATTTGACTTACTTGCTCAGCTGGTGCTCTACCACTTGAACCATGCTTCCAGTTTGGCCTTTTGCTGTTTCATTGGGCATGTGGACTTTTGTGCCCAAGGTAGCTTTGGACCATAGTCTTCCAGGTCTCAGCTTCCTTAGTAGCAAGGATTATAGAGGAAGATTATAGGTTACTGTTGCCCATCTAAGGTAAGAGATTTTTTTTTTTGGTGGGGGGAGGTTGGTTATGGTGCTTGAACTCAGGGCCTGGATGCTGTCCCTGAGCCTCTTTTGCTCGAGGCTAACATTTTACCACTTGAGTCACAGTGCTGCTTCTGGATTTTTCTGAGTAGTTTATTGGAGATAAGATTCTCATGGACTTTTCTGCCCAGTCCGGCTTAGAGCCTCAATGCTCAGATTTCAACCTCTTGAGTAGCTAGGATTATAGGTATGAGCCACCACCACCTGGCTAAGTGAGAAATTAACTGCCTTAAATGTAGTGTTAATGTCTCTAGTGATATTATTCTAATGAAGTGAAAATGCACAAGGCATAGTGTGTTTTTTTTTGTTTGTTTGTTTTTGTCAGTCATGGGGCCTGAACTCTGGGCCTGGGCGCTGCCCCTGAGCTCTTCAGCTCAAGGCTAGTATTCTATCACTTGAGCTACAGCGCCACTTCTGCCTTTTTTCTGCTATGTGGTGCTGAGGAATAGAACCCAGGGCCTCATGCATTTGAGCACTCTACCACTGAGCCACCTTCCTAGCATGGCAAAGTGGTTTTAAGAAGGCTATACTTAGCTGGGCACTGGTGGCTTATGCTTATAACCTGACTGCTCCAGAGGCTGAGATCTGAGGATCAAGGTTTGAAGCCGACCTGGGCAGAAAAGTCTATGAGACTCCAGTTAACTACGAAAATCCAGAAGTGGAGATGTGGCTTAACTGGAGTGAAAAGAGCAAGTGGGAGCATGAGGCCCTAAATTCAAGCTCCAGTACTGGTGTGCATGCAGGCACATACACAAACACACATGCACACATACACAGAGCTGTGAGTGATTCACAGTGCATATAAGGAGATGTGAGTAGAAGTGTGAGAACATGATGCTGAAGTACCTGAATGATAGACCATACAGGTGTGAAATTTAGGCACTCATCCAGCAATAAGCAATTACTCCGACATATTTCATGTATCAGCCCCCTAAATTCAGTAAACATTCAGCCTTAATTTTGATCAATTTTGAAGATGTCTGTCATTGTCACTTACTATAAAAATGCCGTGATTCACCTGAGCCCCTTTGTTTAAAGGAACAATAATGTGATGCTGTATTTGCATTTTGGTAGGTTGAGCTAGGACAGAGACTTCTGCTTTTTTTGAGTGGGCCTCATCAGTGCTGACTTAGCCCTTGTGTTCTTAGGTCAACGGCATGCAGCTTTATGGAAAGTCTCGCCGAGAAGCCGTCTCTTTCCTTAAAGAAGTGCCCCCCCCTTTCACCCTGGTTTGCTGTCGCCGGCTCTTTGATGATGAGGCCTCTGTAGATGAACCAAGGACAGCGGAGCCCTTGATTCCCGAGATGGAGGTATAAAGGGTGTGGTGCATGGTGGGAGGAACTGGGGACCCACCCCACCCCTTTTTATTTCACCAGGGCCACAATGCATAACTTTTCAACCTGTCACACTTTCCATTTAACAACCTCCAACTCTTTTCCTTGAAATGTTGGTACATGGATGGCCATATGAATTTTGACTTTGGAGAATCTTTTTATTCATTCCCTGGACTCATGGCTTTTGGCTTTCAGTTCAATTCATTTCATTTTACTAAGGTTAGAATGTTGGTGAATGGTGAATGATATTTTCTTTTCCCAAAGTCTTAAAAATAGGAAGATCTATGATCAGTTTCCAAGTGAGTCTAGAAGTTTCCATAAAGCAGAAGGTCAGAGAAGGAAACAAGCTTTTTCTAGGGCTAGTGTAAGAGCACTACAATTAGGAAAATAGTTTGGAGCATGTGCTTTGTTACCTTTTGTCCTTTGTAACCTCATCTTTTATGTTGCTTTCTTCTTTTTCCAGACCCTTGGGTTTTAAGTCCATTCATACCACTTTAGATAGGTAGATCATCATCCCACCTCTACTATTTAACCTTTTTAAACTTTTGTGGCTGTCCATGTCTCCTCCTGTTCACTCTTCTTTGATTTCTGATTTCTCAGATTATGCAAGACTCCAGTACTACGTTATTTCATAAATGCTTTAGTGTGTTTTAATGTTGAGTTTTCTAGAATACTGTCGGTTCCTTGTGGGTAGAGGCCATCTTGAAAATCATTTTCCATCACATCTTGATTTTGCTCTTTAGTAAGCGTAAAAGAGAAGCTTAGTGCCAGGCTGGGTAATACACAACTGTGATGCCAACACTTGAGAGGTACAGACAGGAGGATTGCAAATTAGAGGCCAACCTTGACTATATAGTGAGTTCCAGGTTAGCCTGAGTATATACTGAGACCCTATCTCAAGACTACCCATTACCCCATAAGAAGACCTAATACATTTCTAAATATTGCTTGACAGTCTTCTTTAAATGTCTTATCTTTTGTTAATATATATTTATATTTATATATTTAAATATCAAGGTAAGGAATGTGTCATTACTTTGCCATTTTTTTACTGAAGTGAAATGTGGGTGGTGGCTTCTCTCTGAAGACTGATAGAAGTGCCTTTAATCCATGAGGGTGTGTAAATCAACAAGCCAGCTTGCTGACAGTGCTCCCATCCATCATACTTTACCACAATGGCTGAACGACAGCTTAAATTATGCCAAATGTCAGCCTAGTTCCACCCATTAGTTGATTGCTTTCCATTCTGTAAATACAAGAGTTATGCAGAATTGATTATATCAAGGTGATATATTTCACGTCGAAACATAAACTTATGCACCTGGGATGCCCTGAAATTTCTATAAACTTGTGTTTTGTAATTTTATGTGGCTTCTTCTTTTATTTATTTATTTTTTCCAGTCATGGGGCTTGAACTCAGGGCCTGGGCACTGTCCCTGAGCTTCTCTTGCTCAAGGCTAGCACTCTACCATTTGAGCCCCAGCACCACTTCCGGCTTTTTCTGTGTATGTGGTACTGAGTGCTAGGCAAGCACTCTACCACTAAGCCACATTCCCAGCCCTTTATGTGGCTTCTTAAAATCCTGGTTGTGTTTTCTAGCTTTGTCTTTTTTCTACTTATTCTGATACCTTCTTACGTTCTTCAAGTATAACTGGCTAGGTGGCTCAGCCAAAATTCTAATACTCATTAATCAGTGAGGGTATTAAATGCCCCAGATCATGTGTTAGCCACTAGAATTAACTTTGTATGACAGTACTGTACTAGGGCTCAAAGTCTGGACTTCATGCTTTTAGTCTTTTTACCTGTGGCTGGTGTACTAATAATACTTGAGCCATGCCTCCATTTATAGCTTCTTGCTGGTTACTTTTTGTTGAAGATATAATTGTTTTCTTTCTAAGTATCTACTTCCTCATGCCAGTCTGAAATAGAGCCTATTGATCCAGAACGTTCCCACTAATTTCAGATTTTGTAATTCAGAAACTAAGAAATTATTTCTATATTGAGATTCAATCCATTGTGGACTGGAAGTTGATCTCCCATGTCTTACAACAAAGGTTTGAAAGGTGGAAGTGGTGCTGTGGCTCAAGCGGTAGAGTGCTCACCTTCAGCTAAAGAACGCAGGGACAGCGCCCAAGCCCAGAGTTCAAGCCCCACAACTGACCAAAAAAAAAAAAAAAGAGTTTGAAATGTGTACCAGCCTTAACTTTGAAGAAGTTTTTGTGCCTTAGTCTTCCAAATTTAGAGTCTTCTCCCTGCGTACTCATTTTGATTTCACTTTGTTGGTTTTCTTTTACAGGTGACTCAAAATTATATATAAGGGATTGTTGAACTATAATTTTATTCACTGAGATAATCTTATGTTTTAAGAAATCTGCTTTTGGAAGTGACACTGTGGCTCAAGTGGTAGAGTGCTAGCCTTGAGCACAAAGAGACCCAGGTACAGCGTCCAGGTCCTGAGTTCAAGCCTCACAACTGACAAAGAAAGAAAGAAAGAAAGCTGCTCTTAGCTAGGTGCTGGTGGTTCACACCTGTAATCCTAAGTACTCAGGAGGCTGAGATCTGAGGATCACAGATCAAAGTCGGCCTGTTCAGAAAAATACATGAGACTCTTATTTCCAATAAACTAGCAAAAAGCACAAAGTAGAAGTGTGACTAAAGTGATAAAATGTCAGCCTTGAGCAAAAATAGCTAAGGGAGAGAGTGCCCTTAGCCTGAGTTTAAGTCCTAAAAGCCCTAGTACCCAAAGGGGGAATAAAAAGAGTTAAGGGTACAGGAACAAGATTTTTTTTAAAAAAACAGCTGCACATGCTGCTGATCACATGTATGGTATATATGTGTACACCGGAGGGGAACCAGGAAGACGACACAGAACTAGAGCGAATCAGGGAAAAACATACAACAGTGGGACCCATTAGCTGCACAGGACATTGACCAAAATGAACTAAGCAACTTAATGGCAGCGATGGGAGGGATGGAACAAATGGGAAAGAGGGAACAGATGATGCTATGCAAAACAAAATAAATGTATATACCACCCAATGTGGAAGAAATAACTGTATCGCAAAGCTCATAGAACTCATAAATGTTATAGACCGTGATAGACAGTTTGCTCCAGGAAAGTTAGAATGTGTTTGTGACTTTAACTGAGCATCACTATCCCACAATACTGTGAAATTTGGGAAATTATGTAATCACTTAATCACAATAAAAAAAAATAAAAAACAACTGCATTTAAAAATTGTTATTTAGGAAGTAGGTGCTGGTGGCGTATGCCTGTAATCCTAGCTTCTCAAGAGGCTGAGATCTGAGGATTACAGTTCCAAGCCAATCCAGGCAGGAAAGTTCATAAGACTCTTATCTCCAATTAACTACCAAAAAAGCGAGAAGTGGGACTGTGGTTGAGTGCCAACCTTAAGCAAAAAAGCTCAGAGATTGCATCCAGGTCCCAAGTTCAGGTCTCAGGACTGGCATGTGGGCGCATGTGTGTGCATACACACATACACATTGTTATTTAAGATGGGTGCCAGTGGTGTATATCTGTAATCCTAATTACTCACAAGGTTGAGATCTAAGGATCATGGTTCGAAGCCAGTCTAGTCAGGTAAGTCCATGAGACACTTATCTCCAATTAACCACTAAAAAGCCTGAAGTAGAGCTGTGACTTAAATGGTAGAGCTCTAAGTAACTAAACTCAGGGACAATGCCCAGGCCCTGAGTTCAAGCCCTAGGTCAGGCGCGTGCGCGCGCGCACACACACACACACACACACACTGTTATTTAGTCTGGAGTTTTATTAAGAAGGAGTTTTAGGAGATACCAACTCAAAAGAAGATGAGTGATTAATGTACTATTTATTAAGTGTCTATGTGAGGCAGGAAGTAGAGGGTCTGAGTGTATACTATGGCAAAGTAGTCTTTATAGTTCCCATCCTAGCCTTAGTGCATCACATTTTATGAGTTCCTAGAGCAAAGAAAGAAAGATCATACTGGAGCTCCAGAAAATTTGTAGGGGAGATAAAGTAGATTAAAAAAAAAGACAGTGCTATAAATAGTATAAGAACAGAAGAATTTACTTATTTCTATGCCAGTACTGGGGTTGGAACTCAGGACCCCTGATGGCTGTTTCTTAGCTTTTCTACTCAAGGCTGGCTCTTTACCACTTGAGCCATCTGCTCTCGTGTTGCCACTTTGTTTGTTAATTGGAGATTAGAGTTGCCTGGGCTTTTCTGCCCTGGCTGGCTTTGAACTACCAACCTCAGATCTCAGCCTTCTGATTATAGTCATGAACCCTGAGTGCCTAGTTAAACAGGAGACTTTAAGCAGCCCTTGTCCTTCTGTCAACAGGACTTATAAGGCTGTGTCTTTGAGCCTCTTGGAATTCGTGTGCAGTGAGGGACCTCCCTAAAGGACCAGGGCTGTAACATGGGGACTTGGGGAGCCAAGCCAGGAAAAGAATGAAGGACCCATGTGCAAGGCCCTCAGGCTGGCCTGTCCTTTGAAGATCACATTTTCATTGTTTGAAACTAGTGATTTTTTTTTTTAAACCTGCTTTTAGGATTACACAATGCCCAAGGATTTGGCTTTTTTTTTTTAACTTTAGTTTTCTTGTAAAGTTTTTATTGAAAACTTTTGGGAGACAAAAAGAAGTGGTTTCTCTGTCTCCTATATTGGCTGCCTCTGTGTGGTCCTCTCTGTCTCATCCTCTTATTACAAATCCAGGTATTGCTATTTAAATATCGTATCTGCTACTGTGTTGTGTAATGTTTTTACTGAGATTGAGTGTTTTTCCTTTTATGCTTTTAATGGGATGACAGCACTCATTGAAGTATAAGAGGTTAGTGTTCACAGTTCCAATGAAGCATGTATGTGGCATTTTAAAAAAAAGAAATGTGTATGCATACTTGTGGTTTTTCTGAAGCTCTTGTCCCAGTGCATGCATGCCCCTTTGAAAAAGATCAGCCAGAAATCTATGCATGCCGGAGAGATGTCCAGTTTGGAATGATGCTGGGGGAGTCTCGTCTCGTTCAGTCTCTTCAGAACAGAAAGCAACTGTTTTGAAGCATTTGTCTTTGTTGTTTCAGGCTGATCCAGTCACCGATGTCAATGCTGAAGAAGATGATGATGGAGAATTAGCCCTCTGGTCTCCTGAAGTCAAGATTGTTGAGCTAGAGAAAGATCACAAAGGCTTGGGGTTTAGCATTTTGGATTATCAGGTACAAGGCAGAACCCCTACAAGGCTTTGGTTCAGTTCTGTCTTGTGATCTTTGTTTTTAGAGTGATTGGTTTATGCTAAAGTTATGTGAAGCAGTCCTTGTTTAAAGCATCCATTGGCTCAAGTAAAACTTGAGTCTCAAATCAGGGCTGTTGGACCTTCATTGTTGGCTTTACAATTAGTGACTTTCTAGTGAACACAATGGTAGCTGATAGAGGTACTATTATACCCATGATGCTTCTGGAGACTAATCCTTGATGTACTTGTGTCTGTATGTCTGTGTATGTGTCTGTGTGTGTTTGCCAGAACCTCATTCTCTTGCTTTTTCACTTGTAGCAGGTGCTCTACCACTTGAGGCACACCTCCACTTCCAGCTTTTTGCTCCTTAATTGGAGATGAGTCTCTCAGATTTGTTTGCCTGGGCTGCCTTTGAACCCACAATCCTTAAATTTCAGCCTCCTGAATAGCTAAGATTGTAAGTGTGAGCTACTGGCATCCCACCTGATTAACTTTTTATTTACTACTTTTAAAAATTATATGTTTCTTATCATTGATGAACTTTAAAAATAGAGTATCTCCCAGCTTTTTTTTGGTTGTGGGGCCTGAACTCTGGGCCTGGCGCTGTCCCTCAGCTTTTCAGCTCAAGGCTAGCATTCTGTCACTTGAGTCACAGCACCACTTCTTGTTTTCTGGTGTTTAATCGGAAATAAGAGTCTCCCAGACTTTCCTGCCTGGGCTGGCTTTAAACTGTGATCCTCAGATTTCAGCCTCCTGAGTATCTAGTATTATAGGCATGAGCTACCAGCTCCTGGCTCTCCCAGCTTTATTGAGATATTTCACATACCTTATAAAATTCACCTACTTAAGACATTCACTTGGATTGTTTTAGAATAGTCACTATGAACTTTAGGACATAGTCAACATGCCAGCAAGAGATCCTGCACACATTAGCATCCGTTCCCAACATCTATTATGTTGTTTGAGGTAGGTTCATGGTAGGTAGCCCAGGCTGGCTGAGAATTCCTTATGTAGCAGAGCCTGTTCTTGAAGTGGAAATCCTCCTACCTCAACTTCCTTTGTGCTGAGATTATAAGCATGATCCACCACACCTGACCATATATGTATTAGTATATTTATAGTGTCATAGTGGGAGGAGGGGGATACGAAAGGTCACCCTAGGATATGTATCTATCATCTATCTATCTATCTATCTATCTATCTATCTATCTATCTATCTATCTATCTATCTATCTATCTATCTATCTATCTAATCTATCATCTATCTACCTATCTTATCTATCTTATCTATCTATCTACTGGTTTGTTCATTGCAAAATTTTGGGCAAATATTGCCATCAAGAAATAGCAGTAATTTTAGATTGTGGAAGTTGATGTGTTGGTTCATATAATGACAAGACAAACTCTTTCCTTCACTGCTACAGCCCACCCTAGGCAGTTAATGAACATCCAGAATGACTGAGCAAAGTCTAGGTGAGCCAGAATTTAATAGGATCAAATGAAAAGAATAAGAATTTGCTAACTATTTTGGTAATTAGATTTTCACTTAGAAAACACATTTCAGTTGTGGTCTAGATGTCCAGCTACTTATCCATTGTAACCTGGACTGGTATGCATTTGCATTCTTATAGAATGAGCATTTATGTCCTAATTATTCTTCTAAATGGCATTATTTGCTACTTATTTATTATTTAATTATTTAGCAGTGCTACAGGTCTAATCCAGACCCTCCCACATGCAAGGCAGATCTAATGAGCCACATTCCAGTCTAAGTTTTCTATTTTGAGTGTTGTATATGTTAAAACAGAAAAAGATTTCAGACCTTAAAAAAATTAATAAAACTTTAATCGAAGGTAGAAAAACTTGACAGTCCTTAGCAGTTTAATTCTTGGGTGATAAAACCATCCCTCTTACCTGTTCTGAGCTTTGTCCTTTTTTAAAATGTATATTCTGTTTTGATTGTACTGGGAGTTGAACTTGGGGTCTCAAGCTTACCAGTCTGGTGCTGCATCACTTGCATCACTATTTTTTGGGTATGGTCTCACCTATTGGCCTGGAACTGCCACCAGACTGATGTCTCCCCTCTTGCTGAGATTATTGGCATGCACCCATTCACCTGTTGTCTGAGATGGGGTCTTACTAACATTTTGCCCAGAGCAGTTTCAAACTACAATCCTCTGGATCTCTGCCTCCTGAATTATAGTCAGGGTTATTTTTGTTTTGTTTTGTTTTTGTTTTTGTCAGTCATGGGGCTTGAACTCTGGGTCTGGGCGCTGCCCCTGAGCTCTTCAGCTCAAGGCAAGTGCTTTATCACTTGAGCCATAGTGCCACTTCCGGCTTTTTCTGTTTATATGGTGCTGAGGAATTCAACCCAGGGCCTCATGCATGTGAGGCAAACACTCTACCACTGAGCCACCTTCCCAGCCCCCTATAGTCAGTTTTAATATGGATTTTTTTTTCTTCATGGCATAGGTATGCATTCTAACTTTATTCTTTAGGGTTTTATTTTTATTTTAAAAAGGCAGAACTTTTTTTTCTCCTCATATTCCTTCTCCTCATCTGCGCACATGCAGACATTCAGTTCTGCTAAACTGTGCAAAGTAAATCCTGCTTCAATAAAGTGCCATGTTCTCCTTTGCCTTTGTATTTCTCAGAGAGAAATGATAGAAACATACTTCAGACGAAAGGACTCAGCTTATTTAGTCTGTAGCTAAACATGGCAAGAAGAAAACATTCCTAAACTGGATTTTTTAAATTTTTAATTTTCAGCACACTCAGAGTGCAATTCTATACCATTTGTCAGTGGTATATAAAATTGTTACTTATGCTGACATTTAGCTGACAGGTGAACACAATTTTAAATTTGGTTTGGGGCAGGTTAATTAAGTGATTATACCATGCATTGTATAATTAGGCAATAAATTCTGAAGTTCAAAACTGTTTTTTGCAAGGCGAGGCAAAGGTTTAGCGAAAGCCATGAAAGGCCACATTCCTGGCTATTACCGCACTCAGAACATCCTCTGTGGATTTATTAGGTGGCTGAATAGGGCCAAGGCAGATTCCTGTCTGCCAAGCTCAGCATATTTGGAATAAGGAGTCCTGTGATAGAGTGCTTCCCCATTATGTTCAGGGCCCTGGGTTCGATTCCCAGCCCACAGTATAAAAACGATGTCAATGACGCCTGCATTCCAGCAACATTATATATAAGTAAAATAACTTAGACTTAAAAAAATGAAGAAAAGTTACTGTAGAAACATTTTAGCCATAGAGAGAAAGCACTAGAGAGGAAGAGCATCTAGGTGTATGGGACCTACATTAGTAGGCTATGAAGACATTGGATTTTAAAGCAAAGTGCTGGTGGCTCATGCCACCAGGAGATCCTCAGGAAATCTGAGGATCCCAGTTCAAAGCTAGCCTGGGCAGAAAAATCCATGAAATTCTTTTTTTTTTTGTCGGTCATGAGGCCTAAACTCTGGGCCTGAGTAATGTCCCTCAGCTCTTCAGCTCAAGGCTAGCGCTTGAGCCATAGCTCCACTTCCAGCTTTTTCTGCTTATGTGGTGCTGAGGAATCAAACCCAGGGCCTCATGCATACAAGGCAAGCATTCTACCACTGAGCCACCTTCCCAACCCTCCATAAAATTCTTACCTGCAAGCCGGGCGCTGGTGGCTTACGCCTGTAATCCTAGCTACTCAGGAGGCTGAGATCTGAGGATCGCGGTTCAAAGCCAGCCCGGGCAGGAAAGACTGTGAGACTCCTATCTCTAATAAACCACTAGAAAACTGGAAGTGGCGCTATAGCTGAAGTGGTTGAGCGCTGGCCTTGAGCTGAAGAGCTGAGGGACAGTGCCCAGGCCCAGAGTTCAAGCCCCAGGACCGACAAAGAAAAAAAAAATTACTTTCAGTTAACCAACAAAACACTGGAAGTGAGGTGTGGCTCACCAAGTCTTGAGCAATATTGTGATTTATTGACCAGAAGTTTGCTTGTGATATAAATGAAGCTGAGCTTTAGGAAAATGTGAGTGGGCAGATAAAGGATGCTGAGCTGGGCTGTGGAACAATGGCGTGGCAGCTGTCCGAACAGGCAGTAAGTTGAGTTGTGGAGCTGAATGAGGCAAAGCATCAAGCTCTTCTCCCTGAAATAAAAATGCTGAGTCTGATACAGAGTTCTAGAAATCAGTCATATGACCAAATAATAAAGCATGGACATTCATTTCCGTGAAAGGCATTGGAAATAAGATAGAGAAAGGGAAAAAGATAGAAAACAATGGATCAGACAACACATAAAATGCAGGTTAAAGTTTTCCTCTAAAATCCTGCCCCATGTGTGCATGCTGTTACAGAATCTACTGGCATCTGTGTAACTTTGAGGTCTATAGGACTGCGCGTGGAAAATAATACTGTGTGTAACTTGTCAGGAACATGAATATTATAGTTTGACTGTTAATTACTAAGCATCAAAGCTCTTCAGAAATTTGCCAAAAGTTGGTTTTTTTGTTTGTTTTTGTCGTTGGGCTTGAACCCAAGGCCAAATGCACTGTCCCTGAGCTTTCTGGCTTCTTTGTGCAAGGCTAGCACTCTACCACTTTGAGCCACAGCTCCACTTCTGGTTTTTGGGTGATTACTTGAGATCAGAATCTCAGATTTTCCTGCTCAGGCTGCCTTTGGATTGTAATCCTTAGATTTCAGCCTCCTGAGTAGCTACAATTACAGGCATGAGCCACCTGTACCCAGCATGAATTTGTTGTTGGGTTTTGTTTTGCTTTGTTTTTGTCAGTCATGGGGCTTGAACTCTGGGTCTGGGTGCTGTCCCTGAGCTCTTCAAGGTACACATTGTACCACTTGAGCCACAGCACCACTTCCAAGTTTTTATAGCATAATTTCTTTTTTTAATATATATTTTTTATTTTAAAGATACTGTACAGAGAGGTAACAGATACATGAGCAAGGTAATGAGTCCATTTCCTATGGAGCATTGTTGCACC